ATGTAGCATCCATGCTAGCTCTGTAAACAAACAAGCCGGCTGATGAGACGTCACGTCGTTTACTGCGCATGCGTGTCACATCAGTGCTGTGTAGCGTTCACATAGGGGTCTGATGCAGGTCACATTTAAAATGTAATGTGAACGTTCACACAAAAAGATCGGATTTTTTCAAAAAATCGGAACTGAGCATTAAGACCTGCAGTGTGAACATAGCCTAAGTCTATAGCAGCAGAAATGAAGAATAATTCAGGAAACCTAAGTCTAACTACAGGATTTATCAAAAAGGAAAGTCTTCAGTCTAATCTTAAAAGTAGACAGAGTGTCAGCTTCACGGACAGAAACTGGAAGTTGATTCCACAAGAGAGGAGCTTGATAATTGAAAGCTCTGCCTCCCATTCTACTTTTAGAAACTGGAGGAAGCACAAGTAAACCTGCAGTCTGAGAGTGAAGTGCTCTGTTAGGAAAATATGGAACAATAAGATTTTTAATATAAGATGGAGCTTGGTTGTTGAGAATAATGTGTTTCAGCCACCAGGTTGAGCTGTAACACTTGCTAATTCAGTGGAGCAAATGTGGATTTATTATTTTTCTTCTTTTTTCATCTTATAGCAATCAGGGAGGATGGCATGCCAGGAGGGAGGAACAAAAGCATTGGGCCTGTGCAGGTAAATCAGCTGCTGATTCGGTGACACGCTCTGACCTTTTTCCAGCATAGATTCAGTCTACACATATAATCCTGGCTCCGCTCCAGAGAGAGATCACACAAAGTGAGTACATTAAAAGAAAGAGCCTTCCACCTAAAGAAGAGTTTGAGTGCTGCGGCGCTACACATTTATGTGCTTGTGAAGTTATGAGAAAGAGCCCTGACCTTGTTATATCACCAATCATGCAGCCACTGATTATTCCCATTCAGCCTCTACTTCATTATTAACTGTGACAAATGTGTAAGTGGTCAGAAAAATGTGCGACATGAGGATAAGTGCCGCAGAGCCGCTATTCAGCCGAGCGATGCGGTTGATTCATTCGTGCTCAATTCAGCTGTTGAAAACACAGAAACATCCGCCTCCATTAAGAGATGCCTTTTATTTCTGAGCTGAGCTGGAAGGAAGACCTTTCACTCATTAATATGGAATGAATTGCCTGTTTTGGTTTGTGTGCTGAATTGATGGAAATGAAAGTGAATTGACCCCAGTCATAGATACAGGACACCACATTTTCTAGGACAGTAAGGCCTTTCAGCAGGGCTTTTGTAAAGGATTCTGCCTCCACCAACCTACAAGCATTCTATTATTTTAGGTGTGGGCACCAATCATTACAGCACTGTCCTTTACTGTCTGTGCTGAGTCCATTCCTAATTGTGTGCTTGTGTCCTTGCTCCACGGTGTTCGAGTGAAAAGTATTGCAGCACTCATCAATGTTAGTCGATTAAACAGTGGCACATAGAGGTTTTTGTCGTATGTGCTTTTAGAGTGTGTGTGTGTGTGTGTGTGTGTGTGTGTGTGTGTGTGTGTGTGTGTGTGTGTGTGTGTGTGTGTGTGTGTGTGTGTGTGTGTGTGNTGTGTGTGTATATATATATATATGTGTGTGTGTATATATATATATGTGTGTGTGTATATATATGTGTGTGTGTATATATATATATGTGTGTGTGTGTGTGTGTGTGTGTGTGTGTGTGTGTGTGTGTGTGTGTGTGTGTGTGTGTGTGTGTGTTTTAGATCACAGAGGAGGAGATAGAGCGAATTATGTCAGGGCAGGAGTTTAAGGAGGATGTCCCCGAGCACACCTGGGGCAACAACGGTGACAGCGACCACAGCTCCCCCAGCAACGGCGCGTCGGAAGGCAACCAGCCATCACCCGCCTCCACCCTGTCGTCCAGGTGAGTCCACCATCTGATCAGCGGCGACACTCTTCCCATCGCTGAGATAAGGATTCGGCCCTGACAGCCTGACACCTGTCCTTGCTCCCATCTCACCCAGAATTCTATTAAAGCATTCAGCAGCCAAAGAATGCCTGATTATGCAGCTACTCAGGCTTGGCAATGATAGCAAAGCCAAAGAACTCGCTGCACTATCTGCTGTTCTTGTCGTGGAGTTGGGTGAATTGTCTGCTCTCATCAAGGACAAATATTGTCTAGGTACTGGCATGACAGCATTTATTTTAGTCTCACTRTATGTAAACATGAAGTTTATCTCAGCGGTTACAATGTCTGATAACTATTTGATGGAATAGTTGTTTATCAAATTAAATCTTTGTGAAAAAGACCAGCAATCCCAGAAAGCCAGTGCAGCGTGGGCTTTGGTATGTAATCACAAAATGCAAAGTTTTGTCTACACGTTTGTTGAAAAAAAAATGCAACGATTTTTAATAGATAAGAGAATGTTCCTCTGCAACACAAATACTAAAAGTTAAAGAAATAAACTAGTCAATTTTAAAGTGAATTGTATTTTTATTCTTTTTTGGTCTTTTAAAACAACTCTTTCTCAAAAACAACATACCATTGTAAACAGAACCCTACAGAAGTTATCACTCTGTTTTCTCTGCTGAACATCTGTGTCATTATGTAGACGTCTGTCTGAGCATGGTTAGACAATATCCAGAGGTTAGTCAGCTGTAAACGTGTGTCCTATCATTACTCTCTGCTTCTTCACATGTTTTGCTGATGGTGCTGAAGCTGCTGAATGCATCAGTCTGCCTGATCAGCGCTTCTAGTCAGTCCAAAAGTTTATTGAACTGCTGGAGAACGGATGAATCCGCAACCTCAGCATTATCGACATTCACGTGGTCTATCCATGCGCTACACACATCCGTGTGTGTTGTAACACACATCGTCAAACTAAACAAACTGTGTTGTGTAAAAGAGGTTTAATATTATCTAATGTAGTGTTCATTCACAACACTCTGCTGTTGTTCAGAAAGATTTGTTTTTTAAACCTGGAAAGCAATAAAAATGCAGGTCTTCATGAGACGAAGCATTAGCATGGCTTGAGGAAGACTTTGCCTCTCTCTCTTCATTCTGTCTGCTGTGTGACTGCTGTCACAGCTGATACAATACTAACAGTAACTGACTGGCAGAACATCACTTCAAAATGACCTGATTATTCCTTTAAGCAGTTCAGGTATCAGTGTCTGTGGTCAGGGCCGAGGTGGGATGTGACAGTCAGAAAGCAGCTGTTTCTTCTGGATAGGTACATGTCAACCACACTGTGCCAACTCTAAAATCCAGTGTGTGAATCCTGTGTGACCTTTGGCTCTTTTGTGCCACCAGTCGATCTGTAGAGATGAATGGCTACACCGCGGCCCTCAGGGAACAGTACATCAACACCTCCATGTCCACACACTACCAGCTCCTGCCTCACCTTTTCAGCTACGCTGCTCAGTCGGGCCTGTTGACCCCCCAGCCTCGCAGCCTTTACTCACAGTCCCATCCTCTGGTGCTGCAGCTGGTGGCTGCTGAGGACCTGTCCCCACTGACCACTCCTATGCTCATAGAAGACGGGTGAGTAATGCATGCAGAATGTTGCTCTATAATATGCACACAAGTATTCTTTGTTTATTTTATTGAAAATTCAGCTGCATTCTAATTATCACCTTCTGCAAAAGGTGAAGGCAAACAATGTTATTTTTGTCTGTTAGCAAAACATCTCATGAATCACTGGACAGACTTCAAATAAAACTGTCAGAACGTATTTAATGGATGTATCTAAAACACATTAACATTTGAAGTCAGGCCAATTGCAGATGTCTGCACACAGCCTTAAACAACAAAAAATATCTCCAACACCATCAGTTTGACAGATAATGTGTTGAAAGAATGGTTTACAACATGCACACTGAGCTCTGCACAACCAACACATTAACCTGAGGCGTCAGCTCTGCTTGATTGTTAACAAAGGATTTCATGAATCACTAGATGCATTTTAAAGAAATGTTTACATTTCTAACTGATTAGTTCTGAATCCAATGAGCTCAATCCAGTTTTACAGGGTTGTCACAGCTAATTAAAAGACAAAAATGACTATAACTTAGTAAATATAACAACAAATACTGGGTTAAAATTGGATGTGGGAGTAGCTGAAAGTCAGTAGTAACGTACTCTTAGTGTGACGTCTCCTGATATCACGTAACATTGTGTCTTAAGTTTATTTGCAAAGTTTGCCCAAACAGCATCTAAAATCTAAAATGACCGAGTCATTCTTGGTCTTGTTGCACCCAGGTACAAAGTGACTCAGGTAGAGCTGTTCGCGCTGCTGTGTCGCCTGGCAGATGAGCTGCTGTTCCGCCAGATTTCCTGGATCAAGAAGCTGCCCTTCTTCTGTGAGCTCTCCATAGAGGACTACACCTGCCTGCTCAGCTCTACCTGGCAGGAGCTCATCCTGCTGTCCTGCCTCACCATCTATAGCGCCCAGATCTTTGGAGACCTTGCCGACGTCACCGCCAAGTACACCCCTTCTGATGATGAAATCCAGGGGTGAGTGGCAAATACAGGGAGGGAAAATAACATGCACAGCATGTGTCATTGGAGCAGCTGTCCTAAGACTTAAGTTGATGGCTATTTTGTGCTCTATTATTATATTTGACATAAAGAAAATGTATAATATCTGTTATATCTATCTGCTGGAAGAAAATGCATGAATCAAATAAGTCATAGCAATCCTTGATAGGACACATCATGTCCATGACTTTTCATGTCAAAGTTTTACGCATTGTTGAGAAATGACAGATCTTTAGTAATTTTTTTCAAACTCGTAAAAATAACAAGCAATATTTTTATTTAACCTGTAGACATAGTCTGCCTAACAAGCAAGAAAGTCCTTTATAAAGCTAGAACTGTATATTATTTTTATTGCTTATATAACTGATGATACTCAGTTATATTTATCCATGAAACCTGATGAAACTAATCAGTTACTTCAACTACAAACATGTCTTAAAGATATAAAAACATGGATGACTCTTAACTTTCTGCTTCTAAACTCAGATAAGACAGAGTTTATGGTTTTTGGACCTGAACATCTTAGGGATCAACTTTGCAGCCTTTCACCTCCTCTGGATGGCATTAATCTGGCCTCCAGTTCTAATGTAAAGAACTTGGTGTTATTTTTGATCAGGATATGTCTTTTAAACCCCACATTAAAAATGTTACCAGGACCGCCTTCTTCCACCTGTGTAATATCACTAAAATTAGAAACATCTTGTCTAAAAACAACGTGGACAAACTTATTCATGCATTTATCAAATCTAGACTGGATTACTGTAATTCTGTATTATCTGGACATCCAAAAAACTCTTTAGGAAGTCTTCAGTTAATCCAAAATGCTGCTGCTAGAGTTTTGAGAGTTAAACATCATATTTCTCCAGTTTTACATTTTTCTCCATTGGCTTCTTGTCAAAGAGAATTTAAAGTCTTCTAACATACAAAGCTCTTAACAACCAAGCTGCACCATATACAGTATTAAAGATCTTATTGTTCCATACTTTCCTAACAGAGCACTTCGCTCTCAGACTGCAGGTTTACTTGTGGTTCCTGGAGTTTCTAAAAGTAGAATGAGAGGCAGAGCTTTCAGTTATCAAGCTCCTCTCTTGTGGAACCAACTTCCAGTTTCTGTCCGTGAGGCTGACACTCTGTCTACTTTTAAGATTAGACTGAAGACTTTCCTTTTTGATAAATCCTATAGTTGGGGTTGGTTTGGGTTTCCTCATCTGTCCATTATTTCAGCTGCTACAGGCTTAGACTGCTGGAGCGCACGTGACCACATTTCCCCCTTCTGCTGTTGGCTTTATTTGCTCTCTTCACCATCTTTGTATTTGTATTTACTGTCATTATTAACATAGATTTCTTCTAATGGAACCTACACCTGGACCAGTCATTCTGAGTTTGTCTGTGTCCTTTTCCTGTCCTCTACAACCCAAGCCTACTTGTGCTTGGTTCCGCTGGAGGTTTTTTCCTGTTTAAAGGGAGTCACCAATGCGCTGCTTAGGATGAGAGATTACACAGTACAGATCGACACAGGCAAAAATGATCAACATTGCCCTTTGATAGATGATTAGTTTTTGCTCTGCTGCTGACCATAAATCTGCTGGGTATATTCAGCCAGCTGTGCTTATAGCTTCATGACCAACAACTTCATTGTTTTGGTTCAGCTTTTCTGCAGTCGGGGACCTGGTTTCCAGCTGCAACGGCTTTTAGTTTCGTATGTTTTGTAGAACTATTACACCCAGTTCTTTGCAGCAGACAGTAGAGAGATAAATTAGTTTTATCAGGTTACAAGCTATGTGTTTCATTAACTGAAAGAGGAACTTAAAAACACTGTGCCATCAAATACATTTTAAAAATGGGGAAAAGCAGGTATTTAGCATTCTTCTTTTCTTTTTTATTAATAGAAAGTAACTGCTCTTGGTTTTAAACTCTGAAGTTTTATTTGTAAGGACAATAAATATACCATTTGACCCAGATTGCTTCTTAAAACAGGGAAGATACTTAACATCACAGCCTTACAAAGAAAATAAAACACAGTGAAGGAATGTACAAAAAATGAAATCACTTCAATTCTGTTTCTTTATATCGCACCAAGTCACAACAAACAGCATCTCAGGGCACTGCACAAAAAACAATATATCAAAAAAAAAACAAAAAAAACAGCAGATTTTGTTGAATGAAATGCACATTATTTGCTCAAGTGTTTGTGCTGAAATTCAGAGGATTGTTTTTTTTTTCCCCCTAAATATGATTTGGGGCTTCTAAAATTTAGAAAACGAAAAAAAAAATTTAACACTGATGTGTAAAGTGTGATAACTAAAAGGTGGTGTACTTCATTTTACCATTAGTAAT